AACAACAGTTAGCTCTGGGTGGTGGGATTCTAGGAGATACGTTCTTTTTGATTTGCATTTTGATCTATCCGAGCCCTCTCCCTTCCTCTCTCTGAAATCAATAAAGTCATATTTTTTTTAAAGAGTATTTCCTGTGGAAACAGGATGCACCTCCCACTGGATTTCTAATAAGAGTCTCAGGGAACAACACCACAGCAGAAATCACGTCCTCCAACAAAGGCTCCACGCGGCTCCAAATGCTCTCCCCTCCCCCAGGCACGCCCCTAAGCATGAGGCCACAGAAAAGTGCAGAGGAAAACAGTGGCTCTGAAACTGAAACCGCATCGCAGAGGGCTAGACCCTGGGGCTCACGGGAGGGCGATGAGAGATGAGAGAAATGCGGAGCAGAGTTGCTCAGGTTGCCCGTGAGCCATAGGAAAAGTAGCGGCGTGGGAACTGCAGACTTACTGTGGTCAGGAAAGAAGAGATGGAGGGAGGGACTCGCCTTATAAGTGGTACAAAATCTAGGCCAGTATATAAACTCCGTGTTCTTTCTTTACAATCTTTTATGTACTACCTCCCTTAACTAAGTCTTTAGATTTCTTTTTCTTACTTGGTTTTAGCAAAAGAAGTCCTGTATTCAGCCTTGAACTTGCAAGGCCTCCTAATGAGACCAAGGACATGTGTGCAGACAAGGGAGGCGGCGGCTGCAGGCGCCAGAGGAGATGGAATTGGGGACAGTAAATCCATTAAGAACAAAATTGGGCTGAAAATATTTGCAATAATAATATGCTATTTCTGTGTTAAACAGCTTTGTGGAAATTATGGTTACAGAGCAAAATTAAACATCATAAAACTTCACAGTGTGGAGACAATATAACTAGCAAATATCATAAAAAGTGGGGAGCTTCTGTGGGAGGAAGTATGATGCTCATCTTCTCATAACTGTGCTCCCTTTCTTGGCAGGGAGTAAATCAACACTGAATACAATAGAAATGCTTGTTATTAAAAAAACACATTAAAATCCAAAACTCATAATCCTTTTCCTGATATATTTTCATTAGCTTAGTGATCTCAGAGGAAATAATCTCTCATGTAGTGAAAAGAGATCTGAATGCTAGCAATAATGTGTAGTTTTTATTCTATTCAATATAAATTTGATGCCATTTATTTTCAAGTAGCATGTGTAATATGATCCCACTGTTCTAAAATCATTCTGTTTTTTCCACATACATGCCTGGGGCGGGGGG